AATCTTACTACTTTATTACTTTGTGTTTTTTTTTTTGTTATACTGGATACCATTAGTGAACTCTTTATTTAACACACAATTATTCTTAGGTGATTAAGTTTAACTGAAGAGTGACCCCTGTTAAATATGAGTGGGAATAAGAGAGGGAGTACAGGTACAGTTTGGCACATGCTCAACTGGACTTACCCCTAATGGTATAGTTAGAAACATGCCAGGGGATTCAAATTTAATTCCATCAAGGTGGCATGTACCAATGCCATGCTCACTAGTCAAAGTAATCACTTTTAGTTCATAATTGATCATAATGATAGGTCTAAGAGTCAAAGGGATCATATAAACAATAGTGTCTGCTAATACGGATAGAATTAAAAAGGAAGGAAACCATAAAACATGGGAAGTAGGATACACAGCAGACTCATGAATGGTAGATGTCCTGCTAACAGCACTCTGGCCTCAGAATCAGCCCTTAAGGCATTCATATCTGGTTAAAAAGTCCATGAGAGTATTTCAGGCATGAAAGCCACGACACTGTGGCAAAAAAAAAAAAGCCCAAATGAAGATCTCTGTGAGATCCCAGCAGAAAGTATGAGCCATCAAAGAAAGAGGTACCTTTCTCTGAAGGGAGGAGAGACCTACAATTTGACTATGGCCTTGTCTAAAAAAGATCAGAGTTGGTGAACTCAAGAGGCTTCCATAGCCATGGTAGCTCATGACAAGATCTCGGTTGATTACTGACATCTATTTATGAGTGTCAATTGTTAAATCAACAACAGGAGTCACTGTGCACTTACTCCCCATGTAAGATCTGTCCTTAATGTGTTGTACTATGTGAATTAATGGCATAACTAGTACTCAAACAGTACTTTATACTTTGTGTTTCTCTGTGGGTGCAAACTGTTGAAATCTTTACTTAGTATATACTAAATTTATCTGTATATAAATAATTGAAAATGAATCTTGATGTGAATGGGATGGGAGAGGGAGTGGGAGGTTCGATTGTTGAAGGTGGGAGTGAGGTTATGTGGGGCAAAAGCCACTATAATCCAAAAGTTGTACTTTGGAAATGTATATTTATTAAATAAAAGTTAAAAAAAAGAATCCCCCATCTGAATTCTCTGATGTATGATAGATTTGTGACAAATGCTTTTTAACACTATTAATATTATAAGCTTTCTCCGTTACATGCGTCCCTGTTGGATAAGATGTGATTTCCAGCAGAAAATTTTGTCCTAATACTTACATTATTGAAGGGAAACTCTTCCACATTCAATATATACATTCTCTCTCTCTCTCTCCTCTCCCTCCCTACCTCTCTCACTCTTCTTTCTATGACAGATAAGAGTTAGAGAGACAGAGAAAAACATCTTTCTTATATTGGTTCTCCCCAAATGGCTGCTGCAGCTGGAATTATGCGATCCAAGCCAGGAGCCAGGTGCTTTCCGCCTGGTCTCCCATGCTGGTGAAGGGGCCAAGGACTTGAGCCATCCTTCACTGCCTTCCCGGCCACAGCAGAGACCTGGACTGGAAGGAGTGACCAGTACTAGAACCTGGTGCCCATATGAAATACCGGTACCACAGGGGGATGATTAACCAAATGAGCCACAGAGCCAACCCCTTATTATATTCTCAAAGTCTCTCCCATTCAAATAGATGATGGATTATGAGGTATGACCTATGACAAAAAGCTTTCCCATGTTATTTCATTCATAGATCTCCACTTTGTGAATTCTGATGTTGTACTGAGATTTTGGCAGCTTTCCAACTCTCATTACATTCATAAGATTTCTCCCCCATGTGAATTCTCTGATGTCTTGTGGGCTATGACTTCTAAGTAAAGGCTTTTCCACAAGATTACTTTCAAAGGTTTTTTCCCTGTATGAATTTGTGATGTGCAATGTGGGCTAAGTTATGGTAAAAGACTTTGAGTCATTACATTCATAAGATTTTCCCCATGTGAATTCTGTTATGCTTGATGAGGTATAATTGGCACCAAAGGCATATCCACACTGATTAATCTTATTGTTCTCCTTGATGGATTCTGTTATTTAATGAAAAGGAACTTGCACAAAAAGGCAATTGTGTGGAAAATTCCCTGTTAATTCTGTGATGTTTTATTAGTTGAAAATTATACAAAAGGCTTTCTACTATCATTATTCATGACATTTCTCCCCATGTGAATTCTCTGATGCTTTGTGATGTTTGTCATATGAAGAGCTTCTGCACAGTCATTGCCATCATAAATTTTCTCTCCTGTGACTTCTTTGATGTTCATTGAGCTGAATTGCATAGAAATTGCAAAGAAAACTTCTCCACAGTCATTACATTCATAAGGTTTCTCCTGTATGGCTTCTCTAATTATTTACAAGGCTTGACTTTTGGCCAAAGGCTTTTCCAAGTCATTGCATTCAGAAGGTTTATCCCCTGTGTGACTTCTCTGATGCCTTTTGAGGTTTGACTTATGGGTAAAGACTTTTCCAGTCTTTACATTCATCAGGTTTTTCCCCTGTGTGAATTCTCTGATGTGGGTGCTAGAGCTGACTTACTCAGAAAGCTTTTCCAGTCATTACATTCATAATCTTTCTACGCTGTGTGAATTCTCTGATGACTTATGAGGCTTGATTTGTGACCAAATGGTTTCCCACTGTCATTGTATTCATAGGGTTTCTCTCTGTGTTACTTCTGATGTAGGATGAGAGATGACTTCTTAAGAAAGGCTTTTCCACAGTCATTATTCATAAGGTTTTTCCCCCGTGTGAATTCTCTGATGTAGGATGAGATGTGACTTCCACATAAAGGCTTTCCACAGTCATTACATTCATAAGGCTTTTCCCCTGTGTGAATTCTCTGATGATTTATGAAATGGGACTTCCGGCCAAGGCTTTTCCACAGTCATTACATTCATAAGGTTTCTTCCCTGTGTGAATTCTCTATGCTTTGTGAGGGCTGATTTACAGTGAAAGGCTTTTCCACAGTCATTACATTCATAAGGTTTCTCCCTGTGTGAATTCTTTGGTGATTTATGAGGTGTGACTTCTTCCCAAAGGCTTTTCCACAGTCATTACATTCATAAGGTTTCTCCCCTGTGTGAATTCTCTGATGATTTATGAGGTATGCCTTCTTGCCAAAGGTTTCCCACACTCATGGCATTCATAAGGTTTCTCTCCTGTGTGAATTTTCTGATGAGTTATGAGCTGTGACTTCCGGCCAAAGGCTTTACCACAGTCATTGCATTCATAAGGTTTTTCCCCCATGTGAATTCTCTGATGTAGGATGAGATGTGACTTCCACATAAAGGATTTTCCACAGTCATTACATTCATAAGGCTTATCCCGTGTGTGAATTCTCTGATGATTTATGAAATGGGACTTCCGGCCAAAGGCTTTTCCACAGTCACTGCATTCATAAGGTTTCTCCCCTGTGTGAATTTTCTGATGCCTTAAGAGGTGTGACTTCTGGCCAAAGGCTTTCCCACACTCATTGCATTCATAAGGTTTCTCCCCTGTGTGAATTCTCTGATGATTTATGAAATGTGACTTCTGGCCAAAGGCTTTATCACAGTCACTGCATTCATAAGGTTTTTCCCCCGTGTGAATTCTCTGATGTAGGAGAGACATGACTTCCACATAAAGGCTTTTCCACAGTCACTGCATTCATAAGGTTTCACCCCTGTGTGAATTTTCTGATGAGTTATGAGGTGTGACTTCTGGCCAAAAGCTTTGCCACACTCATTGCATTCATAAGGTTTCTCTCCTGTGTGAATTTTCTGATGAGTTATGAGGTTTGACTTCTGGCTACAGGCTTTACCACAGTCATTGCATTCATAAGGTTTTCCCCTGTGAATTCTCTGATGTAGGATGAGACAAGACTTCCACATAAAGGCTTTTCCACAGTCATTACATTCATAAGGCTTATCCCCTGTGTGAATTCTCTGATGCTTTGTGAGGGTGATTTACAGAAAGGCTTTTCCACAGTCACTGCATTCATAAGGTTTCACCCCTGTGTGAATTTTCTGATGTGTTATGAGGTGTGACTTCTGGCCAAAGGCTTTTCCACACTCATTGCATTCATAAGGTTTCTCCCTGTGTGAATTCTTGATGATTTGTGAGGACTGATTTACAGCGAAAGGCTTTTCCACAGTCATGCATTCATAAGGTTTCTCTCCTGTGTGAATTCTTTGGTGATTTATGAGGTGTGACTTTTCCCAAAGGCTTTTCCACAGTCATTACATTCATAAGGCTTCCCCTGTGTGAATTTTCTGATGCTTTGTGAGGATTGATTTATAGTGAAAGGCTTTTCCACAGTCACTGCATTCATAAGGTTTCTCTCCCGTGAATTCTCTGGTGATTTATGAGGTGTGACTTTAGGCCAAAAGCTTTTCCACAGTTATTACATTCATAAAGTTTATTCCCTGTGTTAATTATCTGATGCTTTATGAGGTGTGACTTCTGACCAAAGTATTTTCCACAGTCATTACATTCATAAGGTTTCTCACCTGAGTGAATTCTCTGATGATTTATGAGATGTGACTTCGGTAAGTGGCTTCTCCATGTTCATTAAACACATGAGAGTTTTCCACTACGTGAGTACCGTAATTAATTGCACGGCAGAATTTATAACTGAATGATTTTCCACAAGGCTTACATGCATAGGGTTTCTTCCCTATATGTGGTCTATGATTTATTTTAAGAGGTGATTGATCAATGACAGGTTCCAAAGAACTACTATATTCATAAACTTTCTCTCTTCTGGGACTTTGTTGATGCATACTGAGGTTAGAATTTTTATGGAAATCATGTTCTATTTGAGTTGTCTTGCCAATAGTGGCAGTTGACTTCTTACTTTCTACCATAAAATGCCTCTCAGATTGACAAAATATATTTTTCCTTTTGAAGACTTTGCCTTTTCCAATTGGTTCAAATGCCTGTTGCACAGTCTGAATTTTGTGCTGTTGATTAAGAGCCTCACAGATCTGGAGAGCATTCCCAGGTACATTAGTAGCATCAAATTTTTCTCCAGTTTGTAGTTGAACAGGCCCACAGTGCATACACATTGTGACATACATTGCATTCTTCAGGTTTCATTCCTGAATAGATTCTCTTTTTGATACTCAGTTTTGGAATATGGTTTGAACTTAAATGAAGTGTTTTTCTTAATTCAATGATCTTGGGAGTTGATGTCTTATTGTTTTTCATAACATTCTGGTTCAGATTTTTGTCCTGACTTTTCTGGTTTTTCCTAATCAGGTCATCCCTTTTCATGGCAACTGAAGTGAGAAAAAAAAGGTGCTGTTAAAATCAAATATAATTCTTTTTCCTGGCATACTCATGTAAAAGGAATGAAGTTACTTGTATTTAAGAGGGATAGAATTAACAAAATGAATACAAGTCATTGCTTGGAATGTCTGCATCCAAACACAGTGCCAATTTAAGCCCAGGATACTCTGCTTCAAATACAGCTCTCTACTAATGTATACCAGGGGCAGGAGATAATGGTTCTTGTGCTTGGGACCCTGTGATACATCAGATTGAATAGTTGGAATGCCAGGCGTTTGGCTTCAAATTAGTCAGACCTAACTGTGCAGGTATCTGGGGAGGTAGCTAATAGGAAATCTCTTTCTCACTGTTTCTCCTCTCACTGACTTTCTGCCTTTCACAAAGGTGAAACAACTATATAAGATTTTAAAGAAAGGACATATGTTTGGTAAAAATAATCAGCTATTGCCAAGAAATCAATTTTTCCTTGTCCTATTCATTCCAGTTCATTTTTATAAAATTGTCTGTTTTGTACTTCTCTGATATTTCAAACATCAATATGGGAAACTTTTACTGGATCATTTTCTTGCAGGTGGAGAAGAGTTTAATGTGTCTGTATTCCAAGCAGGATCACATTTAAGGGACAAGATTTGCATCTGTGGTTGTCTCATGTTCTGTCTTCCCAGGGAAACAGTATTTGTGGGATTTTTCTAATGAAAAACTGTTTTATCTGCACTCTATTACAGTTTCCCCATATTTCTAAGGAAATCTGATATCCTCAGCCTCTGAGAACTACAATAGTTACAGAAAGTCCCAATATACCACCTTCGGTATACATTCACAAGCAATTTAAAGAATTTGTTTCTGCAGACCAGAATCTGCTTAATTTCTTGAAAATTTATTTCTATCTCATTGTGCAGTTGTCATCCTGGTGACCTCCTTTCATTTTTTACATAAACACTCCTCTGTGATAATATGCAATTCTGGAGATTTTGATCAGTTGCTGATTTACACATGAAACTTCATTTCCTTTGCCTTTACCATAGATACTGATCTCCATAGATACTGTAGAATAACTGTGTCTGAAGTAAGACTTGGAAAAAATTAAGAAAGAGCACCACTCAACATCTGCTGCAATGATTCTACTTTGGCCTCCCTGACCATTATGTACACACTGACCTGGGAGGCTATGATGTAAGCATTCTTTCCCCATCCAGGGCTCTGCTCCTTGCTCCAACTTCAAGATCAAGTCAGGTTTGGTCATGCAGTGCCCTAGTAATGGAAATAATGTAACACTTTGTGAAATCACTATCTTGGGTTAATTAAAGGTGAACAGCTGGTCCAGGAGCTATGCAACAAATGTTCCAATTTGAATTCCTTCTCAGAGGGTATATAATCAGATTCTTCATGGACTCAAATTCTATTCCTGTCCCTCATTTATAAAGTTGATAAATAGTGCTCACTTATTTGTCAAATAGTGAGAAAATGTTACCATTGGGCATGTGATGAGTGTCACTCACCCAAGGAGAACAGGCTGCTGTAGGTCTCCAGCATCACATCCCTGTACAGGATTTTCTGAGCTTGGTTCATGTTCTGCCATTCCTCCCAGGTAAAGTACACAGCCAGGTCTTCAAATGTTATCATCACCTGTGATAGAACACTCCTGGTCAACATGTCAACTCTGTCACATAACAAAAAATGGCAGTTGTATAACTTCTGCATGCATATGGAGGAAGAAGGAAGGATGCCATTTCATTTCAGATTTGTTGAGCATTTGGACAGCCACACAGAAGCATTCAACAGGGGATCAAACCTGTGGTATAAAGGCTGTGAAAAATGCCCAAGCTGGAGGGAAACAGGAATTTCTGTTCAGAAAGGCCAGACTATGTCAAGGGCAATTGCACAGGAGGCTGAAAGGGGGACAATAGTCACTCTGGAATGAGCAATGTTCAGAAGAATGTAGAAGTATTCAGGGAAAAAGACAAGAAACCATCAGGGAAGCTATGAAGAGATTGAACAGAGAAGAATTTCCAGGAAAACACCATGCACAGTCAATGCAATTATGGCAGAGAAAAAAATATTTTAAATTGAGACATTACAGACTTAACTTAGTGTTTATGAAGCCAGCTCAGATACTCTATCTCTGCATCAAATTTCCAAAGAAATTTCCTTGAGAAATTCTGTACTATAATCTGCATTTGTGACTGAGGGAAATGCAGAGAGATTTGTTTGAGAACAGAGTAGGCACCAGTATTATGGTGCAGCAGATAAGCCTGCACCCTCCACCTGCAATTCAGGCATCCCAATGTGAACAGTTTGAGTCCTTGGTGCTCCACATGGGATGCCTGTGGTCATTTTGTGAATGAACCAGTAGATGGAAGGTATCTCTTACTACCCATCCTTCCATATCTCTATTTGCCTTTCAAATAAGTTAATAAATAAATCTTGGGGCCAGAGCTGTGGTGCAGTGGGTTAACACCCTTGCCTAAAGTGCTGACATCTCATATGGGTGCCATTTCTAGACCCAGCTGCTCCACTTCTGATCTAGCACTCTGCTATGACCTGGGAAAGTAGTAGAAGAAGAACCAAACCCTTGGGTCCTTTAACCCATGTGGGAGACTGAGAAGAAGCTCTGGCTCCTGGCTTCAGACCACAGCAGCTCCGGGCATTGTGGGCAGCCAGGGAGTGAACCAGCAGATGAAGATCTCTCTCTCTCTCTCTCTCTCTGCCTCTCTCTCTTTGTAACTCTGACTTTCAAATAAAAATAAATTTTTAAATAAAAACTTAAAACATAAAAGAACCTGCAATAGATTTTTTTCCTCACACAGCCCTTATGCTATCTCTGAATCAAGGTCAGCTCCCCAATTATGAAGGTCTGCATTACTCTAACAATTAAAAAAATAAATGCAACTGATTTGTGTTTTAGCACTAGCTAACTCTTACCCTTGCAGAATGTTCAGTGTTTATTTCCATGGTGGTACTGAAACACTGCCCACTACATCATCTATATAACAATAATGACTGTATTTGACATCATGACCCCCAATTTCGAATATTATCCTTGAAGCCTCATTTAAAAATATAAATAATATGTATTTTGCTATGGCAACAGAAAGATGAGACCAAATTGCCTTATGTTAGATTACTTCAATGCTTGATAGTCATGACAAATTCATTTGTCTTGTTTTTATATTCCCTAAGAATAAAATTTATCTTTATTTTTCCATTTTTATTAACAAATTATTATAAATCTAAAAAGAAAACTGACAGCAACCTGAGAATAATTAAAAAAAAAAAACACTTACAGGGCCAGTGCTGTTGCACAGTGGGATAAAGCCCCAGCCCTCAGAGCCAGCATCCCATATGAGTGCCAGTTTGAGTCCTGGCTTCTCCACCTCAAATCCTGCTCCTACAAATATTACTGGGAAGGTACTGGAGGATGACTCAAGGGCGTGGACCCATGCACCTATGTGAGAGATGCAGAAGGATCCTGCCTCTTGCCTATAGATTGGCTCAGCTCTGACCTTGTGTGGCCTTTTGGGGAATGAACCAGCAGATGCAAGACTCTCTCTCTCTCTTTTTCTGTTACTCTCTGTGACTATGTCTTTCAAATGCATAAAATAAATATGTTTTAAAAGTACACAATCTGCAGGTGATGTATTAATTTTCTTTGCTCTTTGAAATATCTGGAGGTGTCATGAATCATTCCTGGAAGAAAACATAAATGCAAGGATTTAAAAGAAAATTTCATGGCTTTCTTTCTACATTGTACTGTAGAAAACGGAGTGCTAGAATGAATAAAGAATCATGAATACATAAATAAAGAAAACATAAATTTCAAGGAGGAAAAATTTTAAACCTGCAAATATACGGCAACTGAACCCACCTCTATTAAGTGGCAGAGATTAATCAGAATTATCTTTGGTTTAATGAAAGCATTGCAAAAAAAAATTTTTTTTTCCCCCAGGAATTACTGTCATATTGTTTTTGTTCCTTTTCATTTTCTGTAAAGTCAATTCCTATGGTCATTTCTGTGATACAGGAAATCATGTTTCAGATAAACAAAAAGTGGAGATAAATGAGAATAGTCAGGGTGATACTGAAGAAAAAAGGACAATTAGGAAAAAGGGAACTTCCAACGTTGAAACTGATTAATGTTACGAGAAATCACTTAAATGTGGGGAATCAGTGTTCAGGAAGACCAGACACTTATTCTTTCTTTTTATATCCAATTACTGCATCAAACTTAACATTGAGCTTTCGTTTTGCAAGTGCCAGGAAATGCTCAGGAAGGATCCTTTCCAATATCATTAAAAAGCGTATAGAAGACGGCACAAAGATCATTTTCTCCTCTGTCAGGATCCCATTCATCAGCTTGTTTACCACTTGCTCAGGTTCTAGGGTGGGTCCCAGGATGGTGCTTGGATTTTTGATGAAGCCAGTGTTTATGAAATTCGGGCAGAGACACGTCGTCTTGACTCGGTTCTTTCTAAGGCAGCCAGCTCGTCAGTCAAAGCTCTGTGAAACCCAACAGCAGCAAATTGCTGGAACAATAAGCCAGTAAGAAGGGGACCACAGTATGTCCACCTGCGGAACCCAGTGACAATATGACCATGATTGTTCTTCATCATCGCTGGAAGAAATGCCTTTGTAGTCCAGAAATGCGCAAGCACATTAACTTCAAAAGCTTTTTCAATCTGAGGGTCTTGTGTAGC